CAAGACACGCACTACTGCTTACCACCCGCAGGGTAACGGACAAGTTGATCGAACGAATAGGACGCTAATCGGATTGTTAAAAGCCTTTGTGGACCGTCAGGCACCCTTCACGTGGGACGATGCCTTACCCGTATGCATGCTCGCATACTGCTCCACGATTCACTCCTCAACCCAACAGTCGCCCTTCGCTCTCACCTGTGGTCGGGAAATGCGGATGCCGGAAGACCTCCAAGTACCACGTGAGAATAACCAAGTGCCAGTTAATTCATATAAAATAGAATAGGTTTATTGTAGCGCCCCTTGGGCACTGTCAGTCCCCTTTGAACTCAGGAAAAAAACCTAAAACAAATTCGTCAATTTCAACTGCACTTTGACTTCATTTGTTTCGGGTGTCTGGTTAGCCAAAAGAGCGCGAATTGAGAGTTTGTTTTAAATTAAAAAAACCTCAGTTCTAAGGGAAAATGAGGACAAATTTTCAAAAAATAACGATATGTACAATATAAAAGTTGAAGTTTGCAGTTTGGTAGTTTTCGCGGGCATGAATAATATGTCCTTCATGGCAATTGAAGAACTTTGATATCGACCTGACCTTGAAATTATTTTCCTGTTGGGTAAATTTCGGTGTGCTCTAGTTGCTGGTTGTCAGTCTATCTGGCGAGCTGTAAGTGGGCGGTTGCACAGTTGCTACGTGTTTTTCAGGAGGCTTGCCATCGTTGTCTGGACTAAGACCTGGAAAAGATGAATATATATCAGGAGTAAGAAGCATTCAATGGTAAGTCACAATCAAAACTGTCAAAATATTATTGAATCATGTATCATATTTTTTTTTATTTAATGCCAGTTTACAGGCATTGTCAAGGGAAGCGTTTAAACATATTGTTCTTGTTAATGTGAAATTATAGGAGTAGTGGTCGATTGTTTACTATGAGCTAATATAGTTCTATATATGTTTAATATGGCCATAATATAGACATACGCACGACTAATATGCAGGGTTGTATCGAAGGGTATATTTTTATTAGCTTTATAAGGGATATTTAGTGTCAAGTGACATAGCTGATGAAAACGAGAGAGGGAGGAAAAAAAAGAATATCATTATCTGTTCTATGTTTATCAATGATGCTATCTTTTATAAATTGGATTATTTTTAGTGCTATGTTCCAGTATTTTTCAATCGGCTGGCATCATCAGAGCCCTTTTGGACCAAATTCAATATCAAAGAATTGACTTGAAAAATGTCCTATCTTATTTAAAAATAAATGTGTATTGTTATTTAAAAGGAATTTCTTAGTTTTTATTTTAAACTCGATTAGGGTTCGACTTTTCCGGATATAGCCTGGAAGAGAATTCCAGATAGTCGCATATCTTATGGAGTAGAAATTTGACCGTTGGGACTTTGTGAATTTGGGAATCCTTATAATGTCTTCGCTATTTCTGGTGTTTCTAGGGGCGTTTTGGTTGGTAAGTAAATTCATT